GGGAATGGGCTCCCAATGTTCATGAATAGATTCAGAGATGTGTCATCAGAAACCCCTGTGTTCGCCTCTCCTATGGGAAGCGCATAGCACACTTCTCCGTATTGACGGATGGTTGGCGTATCTGGGCACCAAATAATTGGGACCCCAGGCACAAGGCACACTTTTCCCGAGGGAACTTATAGCACACGTTTATGGCCCCGTGGCCCTCATCAAGAACCACACCTCCAGGAGGAAGGTGTTATGTGGTAATCCCTTCGGGACCGGCTGACAGTGGGGCTTTGTCACCATCCACTTTGTGACATCTGACCACGTAACCTGTTATCGCTAACTCTATTACCTGGTAGGAGCGAAAGTCAAACCCGGGTGCTCCCCCGATGATTGGACAGAGAACACAGAACGCGCAGATGCGCTAGATACCATTTCTCCTCAGGTTAACGCCTCTAAGTTGTAATGGACTGTACTTTCTATTCCACCTACAGGAGTATCTTGGTGACAGGCATTCAAACCTAATAAGGAACCTTTCACATCGACAACATAGGTCGCATAGGTCTCCTTTATCCTCGAGAAATTTTCACACGGTCCTTCACTGCAACACCATGACCCTACATACACTCACCCGTATCGTGGGATGCTGCCTTCCTCCATTCGGGCTATATTCCCTGACTCGCTACGTTACCAGGACAGACAGTCAGGTTCACTCAGACAGACCCCTATGATCAATTGGACTTTGCTTGGTAGTCGGATGCCAGCTTGTGGGGTAAGGTGCTGCGAGACCACACCCACAGAAATCAGGAATTCTCCCTTTACATTGCAGACCTAGCATTCTTTGTGCAGTACTTCACTATTCACTGCCTGATAAGGCAGTACTCCGCTGGTTGCATCCTACTACAGATGGACAGAGCATCGACAGTCAGGTATACCAATTGCCTGGAGGGAACTAACCCCCATCTTCTATCAGACATCATGTAAGGCATCTTTGATTCCTGCCTTCCTCGCAGAACCCTGAGGTCAGCATATCTCCCGGGGGAGACACATATTAGAGGGACCGCCAGAATGCGGTGTTCTTCAATTCGCACGTTGCACGAGGGTGCACAATAGTGATCGCACCCTGGCCACCTGGGACTCCCCGGGGGACCTATGCTTTTCCCTCCCTTGCGATGATTGTTCCCTCATTGTTCAGCGAATAACACCGCCTTGACCGTCCCGCTGTGACGGAGTCAACCTTGTTTCCCGGACCTCACTGGACTGACTGATGAGGATCTCCTCCTCCTACATTCATATCCTACTATTCTCATGGATCCGAAGGAAACCTGCATCTTCTCTTCCTGGAGGGTCAGCTGACCCTGGTGGCCGGGACTCTTGCTGGGGTTCTTGGCAGGTCGGAACTATCGCAGGCTGCTAGGGACTTCTTAGGAGTCTCTTGGGCCCCAGGGACGTGACGATGCTACCTCTGGGCATTTCCAGTCTGATTTATGTTTGGAACTATACCTTGATCCATTACGGGGTGGTTTGGCCCGTGACCCGTTCTGGGTACTCCCGATGGAAAAGGATCCTTAACCCCTTAAGGATCAAACATCTGGAATAAAAGGGAATCATGACATGTCACACGTCATGTGTCCTTAAGGGGTTAAACATATGTACCAGTTACCCAGTGACATCTTCCTCCAGCTCATGGGATGTGGAGGCCATTTTACATTTTTTCTATAGGACAGGGGCACCTACTGATGGACTTTTATGCTTGGACCGGTGGCTTTCCGCCAGGTACCGGATGATTGGGCGTTCGACGGGGAGGTTTCTCCCAATAGACCCCACTTTTGGCTTCTTCATTAATTTTCTATTCCTTTCTCAGTGTTAAAAATGGAAAATACTCGCCTCCTGTAAAATTGAAGACTATGCTAGCTTTAGTGTACTAATAATTTTTATTTTAGTAATGACAGGAGGCGAGTATTTTCCCTCCCTGCTTCGCTACCCACCCTTTCTGTTCGTTTTCTTTGTATGTATCATGGGTCTAAGGTAGGTTTGGCTCTCAATGTTTTGTGTTTACATTGATGATTGTATTTCCACTATCTGGAATTCTCATTGGAGTTTTAAATTATAGTTATTCAGTTATCAGATGGTAGTTCCCAATATTCTTCTATGTGATGATGTATATGGTACGTTACTTGGATTTACATGTTCATTACTTCTCTTCTCAGTCTGATTCGTCTCTGAAGACATTTGGTTGTCTGTGTAGAATTCACGGAGCGGTTCGCTCCTTCAGATGTTGGACTTGAGTTATTGTTTGGCTTGTTATATGTTTATTTCTGCTTGATTTTGATTTCTGAAAGAGAAAGTGATGAGGACACTATGCCTTATATACATCCTACTCTCTTGTGATTGGTACTTTTTTCTATATGTTTCTTTGCTGCTGTGTGGAGCGAGAGATTATGCAAAATACTCGCCTCCTGTCATTACTAAAATTAAGATTATTAGTACACTAAAGCTAGCATTATCTTCAATTTTATATATATATATATATATATATATATATATATATATATATATATATCGTTCTTCACTTTTGATTCACATTGTCTTTTGACTAATTATTATTTTTTGTTCTTTACCAAATAGAGATTAATAAAATTGTAGTACTTTTTTTTTGCTCTCTTTAAAAAGGCACTTTTTTGCCATTTACTGACAGAGCAGCCTATATTAGGGTACATGGAGGGACACTGGGTGCGCTGTTTAGTTAGCCCATTTCAGTCTTTCTTTCTTTCTATGATTATTTTTGTTTATGCCCTAAGTACCCTACAACCATCCCAACTTCAGTGAAAGATTTATTTTCTCTCACCACGGTTGTATTTGTTAGACCTAGATAAAGACCTGTGACTTTCTGATATAACTGATTATGGTACAACAGAAGCCAAATCCATCTTAATTCCAAATGCCCTATATGTTAATGTTATTACCAGCCTCTGTATCATCACCCAAATTTATTCTTAGTTTTATTCTCAGCCAGCCATCCTCTTATTTTACTCTTTTCTGTAATGTAGGAACCCAAAGAATTAGTAGCCAAATGTACCATATAACATATATAACATTAACATATAGCATTAACATATAACATTAACATATATTATAAAGCATTGTTAATAAACCTTGCATTAACCCCTTACTGACCAGATCATTTTTCTATTTTCTTACCGTTAAGGACCATGGCTCTTTTTACATTTCTGTGGTGTTTGTGTTTAACTGTAATTTTCCTCTTACTCATTTACTGTAACCTCACATATTATATACCATTTTTCTCGCCATTAAATGATCTTTCTAAAGATACCATTATTTTCATAATATCATATAATTTACTATACAAAAATATAAAATATGATGGAGAAATGTAAAAAAAAAAGCACTCTTTCAAACTTTGACTCCCAAAATCTGTTACGCATCTACAACCGCCAAAAAACACCCATGCTAAATACTTTCTAAATTTTGTTTCTCAGTTTAGAAATGCCCAATGTTAACATGTTCTTAGCTTTTTTTGGAAAGTTATAGGGCTATAAGTAGCACTTTGCAATTTACAAAACTTTTTTTTTCAAAATTAACTCAAGTTACATGGTAACACTGATATCTGTCAGGAATTCCTGAATAACCCTTCACATGTATATATTTTTTAAAAGAAGACACGCTAAAGTATTAAACTTGGGGTATTTTGACTCTTTTTATGCAACCATTTTACCACCAGTCTATGCCAAATAAAAAAAAAATAAAAAAAATAATTGGTGATTTTTTTGAGACACAGAGCAATTTAAGAATACATGTACAAAGAACTTTAAGGGTTACTGCCAAAGAACACACACAAAAATATATGTTCAGCAACATCTCATGAGTACAGTGATACCCCCATGTATAGATGCGTCAGGTTCTCTGGGGGCTAATAGACCTTACTTGGAGGGTGCACATTCTAGTTTTCCAACTTGGAATTTTCTCAGCTGGTCATCATGCACCCATGTCCTATTTGGGACATTTTTGAAGCCGGACAATGTAATTTACCCGATCAAACCATATATTTTTGAAAAGTAGACACCGTAGGGTATTTCAAATTGTAGTATTTTAACACTTTCCATGCACTAATTCTACCACCAGTCTTTGTCAACCTTTTGGGTCATCAAGCACCCACGTCCTATTTGGGACATTTTTGAAACCGGCCAATGTAATTTACCCCCATCAAACCACATATTTTTCAAACTTTTGGGTAGTAATTTTTTTGTGTTATTTTTCTCTTTCCCCTTTTCCATATTTGCCCATTGAAATTTGCCAGATTGGTTGTTGCCTTTGAGACCGTATAGCAGCCACTTAGCCATAAACGCTTGGCAAAGTTAGCATTCATATTAGTTTTTTGCATTTTCTTTACACAAAAATAGCACTTTTACTGGCAATTGCATCGTTGTGATACGTTTTACTGTTGTAAACACTCATATTTGCATTCAGCGAAGTCTCAGTACCCCCCATGTACAGGTTTTATGGTGTTCCGAAAAGGTACAGGGTCAGTATAGGGCTTGCCCAATTCAGTTTGCCAGATTGGTTTGCTGGGTCTGTGTTGTCTTTTGAGACCATATGGTAGCCCAGGAATGTGAAATAACCCCATCATGGCATACCATTTTCAAATGTAGACAACCCAGGATATTCCAAATGGGGTATTTCCAGTCTTTTGTAGTAGCCACTTAGTTACAAACGCTGGCCAAAGTTAGCATTTTATTTGTTTTTTATATAAAAAAAAAATCTTCAATTTATATTATATATATATATATTACATGTGTGCACATGTGTATGTGTGTGTATATATATACACTTACATATATATGCACACACACATATAATACGTGTGTATGTATGTGTGTATTTATATATATATATTTGAATGGGAAGTTGATCAATATAGATTCCAACATAAACTAAGACTGGCTGACTTCTTTAAATCTCGCCCAGAGAATGTTGTAAATGAACAGCAAGAAACTATGAAATTATGTAGTTTATTTGATCCACCGAGTAATAACGCTTCCCTGAAGGTCTTCTCACAGAGCCTAAGATCTGAAAGCAGACGTTACCTCAATAAGACCAAAAAAGGTGCCAATATTTCCAAAATTGAAAGGGATGCCCTTAACAACTTGGCTGCAGATACTACCATCACTATTCGTCCAGCGGACAAAGGTGGGACTATTGTTTGATGCAATATCAAGACTTTAGAAATGAGATTTTAAGACAACTTTCAGATGATAAAGTGTACAAATGCTCTGAAATAGATCCAACCGTGGAATTTGGGAAAACTATTTTTGCAACACTACAGAGAGGGGTAGAAAACCACTATATAACACGACAAGAATTTGAGTACTTACATGAAACTCACCCCAGGTGTCCGGTGTTGTACACACTACCAAAAGTGCATAAGGACCCCATTCACCCCACGGGACGACCTATAGTCTCAGCTATTGGTGGTTTATTGGAGCCCATCGGTAAATGGCTGGACAAGATATTTAAAACTCCAGTGTTATCTTTGCCTACCTGTGTCAAAGACAGTGCAGCTGTTATTGAACGTCTTAACAATATCCCAGTACCGGTAGCTTATACACAATAATCCCACACAATGATGGTATACTAGCAATCAAGGGAGTTCTACAGAATTTTACTGAGTGGGTGAATCCCCCTCTGGAGTATATACTGGAACTTTTGAAGCTATGCGTCACTTTGAACTATTTTAGATTTAAAACAAAATTCTATATACAACAGACAGGAACTTCAATGGGGGCTCCTAAACGCATACATGTTTGTTTTTGAGCAACAACAGATCCTTGGGCCTTATGGAGAACATATATTACAATACCTCCGCTTTATAGATGACGTCCTTCTTCTATGGACTGGTGGAGAGGAAAAGTTTGTTAACATGATGCACACACTGAATTCACTTCCTACACCTGTGAGATTCACTTACCAGTCGAGTATGACTAATATCAATTTCCTGGATCTTCACATTTTCATCTCAGACAATCGCTTGGGCTATACTCTGTTTTCTAAATCAACGGATAGGAACACTATTCTGCATTCAACAAGTTTCCATCCTAGAAAACTAAGAGTCACTGCCTATCTCCCAATTCATAAGAGTATTGCGCAATAACTCAGATGACAGCCGGGCAAAGATACAGATTCAGGACATGTTCCAAAAATTCCTGCAAAGAGGATATTCAAAAATGGTTTTGAATGTGGCATACACAAAGGCAATAGAATCAATTGCAGAAAACAGGATTCATCAAGACATCGGTGATTGATTCATCTTCCCTCAGGCATTTCATCCAAAGTCCCAAAAACTCAGAGATACCATTCATAAAAATTGGCACGTTCTTTACAATGACACATCACTGCCTCCTGTATTTAAAAAACATCCCATTATGAGTTACAGAAAAGGGAAAAATCTGAGAGACTATTTGATGCATGCAGATATAGTGTCCACAACACAGTCATTACAGAAAGTGACAAAAGCAGGATGTTTTCGCTGTTTGAACTGTCTGGCGTGCAATTCTATGATACTGGGTAAAACCTTCTGTCACCTAAAATCTGGAAAGGTGTACACAATTAAACACCGGATTACGTGCAGGACCACACATGTTGTGTATAGAATTATATGCCCCCGTGGTCTCACTTATGTGGGCAAGACATCTAATGACCTAAGGGAACGCATGCGGGGTCACAGGTCTACTATACGTTCAGCACTACTGAGCGGCACTGCAAGCACTCCAGTCGCCAGGCATTTCCTTGAGATGGGACATAGCCTGTCCTCACTTCGCTTTATGGGAATAGATCACATACCCATCTCACCCAGAGGAGGAGATAGTGATAACCTGTTACTCAGTGAGGTTTTCTGGATATACACGTTGGAAACATTATCACCATCTGGTTTAAATGAGAAGAACTCATTATATTGTTTTTTTACCTAGAAGATAATATATGATTGAGCTATGTTTTACAGAATGCATTAATATAGTACAGTTATTTGCCGTAACTCCATGATGGAAGTAGTCCATATCGCATATTGCTTCAAAATTACATTGACAATATTTTGCTATATAACTGAGTTAATATTTAGCTAATGACGATATGTACTATGTATCTATGTTCCCTTGGTTAGGGTTGAAACATTTGTATATACTTTATTTTTATAGTTATTTATCTTTTATTACTTTCTGACTTATCTACACGAGAGTATGTTTCACATACTAGTTACACATAGGGTTAACTTTAATTTATTACGTAATTCAAACATGTTTACGTCATTAGTGACATCACTCTGATCCGTTGTTACATTTCACCTGTTCACCTCCAAATAGGATCACTGAATTTTTTGTATATAAGGTATCCATCTCACATACACAATTGTTTTGAAAAAAGTCTTTTACAGACTGAAACGTCGACTGGAACGTTGTGTGACTTTGTAATTGCTCAATAAAGTAACAGATGAAATTTACCTTGAAAGGAATCTTTTTGTTTATATATATATATATATATATATATATATATATATATATATATATATATGTATATATATATATATATTAGTTTTTAGCAGTCTGGGGGACTGCCTGACAGCTCATACAGTCTACCTGCTGGTAGCTCCTAGATGTCACATATTCATCCGCACATAAAAATGTGGTTAATGGCATTTATTGTCCTGACAGGAAAAGTTGTGCCAAGCAACATTACTGTCCTGATAGGAAAAGTTGTGTCAACCAACATTACTGTCCTGACAGGAAAAGTTGTGCCGAGCAGCAATCAAATCCACAGGAGAGTTTGTGCTGAGCAGCAATTACGCAAATGGAAACCTGGTAATTGCCTTTGGGGTCAAAGGCCGGTTACAGCCAATCAGATGCACAGGAGGGGTATTTAGGCCCAGTTCTCCTCTTCCTCAGTGCACTGTCGTGGTTTCATGCCTATGGTTATCTGAGAGTGCGTTACTGATTTTGATTTTCTGGTATTTGACTTCGGCTTTGTTTTCACTTCACTGATATCTGGTATCCTTGACTTTTGGCTTTCCCTCATCTTTGTGTCTGACTCTGTGTCCCTGACCTCGGCAAATATTTTGACTATTCTTGGAGACGTTAAGTCCGGCCATTCTAAGGTCTGGTTATACTTTATCCTTAGTCCTAGGTGTGACACAGTACTGCGTGCTGGATCAACTTGTAATACGGACACTGGACTCCTATTGCAGCGATGTGATCATGGTGATCACATGGCCCTGGGGGGCTGGGGTGGCCGGAGCTGCTGCAGGAGGACTGCTAGGGTCTCCAAAAGTCCCCCCCGACCCTGATCGCCTTGGATAGCTGGTCCAGGTAAGTCCAAGGCTCCTATTTGCCGCTGTCGTACTCGGTATGTCTGGTTAACAACCGTTTTTTTGTCGGACATACATAGTACGTCCACGGTGGTTAAGGGGATATAACTGTGTATTTTGATATAATATATATATATATATTTATATATTAATATCAAAAGACAGAATAAAATTTAGATTATGCTAACGTAGTATACCTATAATCTTAATTTTAATAATGACAGGAGGCGAGTATTTTGCATAACTTCCTTTACTTATGCCTCCAGCAGCACAAGTTAATCAATATACTTTCAACCAATCAGTAACAGGTATCACATACATATATAAAGCCCTGACAGACACATGACTTCCTCTTTCTTTGATGCGAAAAAACAGTCTATAACAAAGTCAGGGAACATAACCATAGTCCTGAATAACATGGAAAATGCAAACTTGATTCATAACGAGATAAATTCCAGCTTGACCGACATTGAATCCACCAGCGAAGATCACACTGAAAAGAACAGAAACAAGTGAAAGGTGATGGAAGTAGACTGATGTCCACATTAATTCCAGTGTCACTATATATCAATATAAATTCTAAAAACTCGTATCGTCTAAGTTCTAACCTCATAAAATATATACACCACAGTGATAGACATGTATTACCATATAAAACATCCAATGAACATACAAGATTAGATGAACTAAACAAAATACATTACTAAGCAAGAATCAGTGAAACAAAACTTCCCATAGGAAAGGGAGGGAGAGAACAGGGAGGGAATATACTCCTCTCCTGTCATTAGTAAAATCAAGATTATAGGTACACTACGTTAGCATAATCTACAATTTTTTCACATGACAGGAGGCTTCATATTTTGCATTTTTAAAGCTGTTGTAATAACGAGAAAGATGCGTGTGTAGTCTGCCAAACGTAGAATATCGGATAGAGAAGCTCCCGCCGAGAACGCCCAAGAATCGTCTGCAACTCGACGATTGAGCCCCGAAACACATTTCAAACCTCGCCAGAGATAAAAGCCAATGAACCCATCTAGCCAGAGTGGTAGTGGTAACTGGTTTGTAAGGTTTGGTAAAGGAGACCAGAAGTTGTCCGCATCGCAAAAATCTAAGGGGTGTAATAACCTCCACATATCAAGTAAGCGCATTCACTACACACGTTCACTACACAGAGACAGGGTACCGTAGGAAAAAATGGGGTAAGACACGGATGTGGAATCTTGAGTACCCTAGCTAACATCGAGAACGGTGGGAACGCATACGCTCCCCTTGGAGGCCATGGTTGCAGAAACGCGTCTATCGCCTCGCACTGTGGATCCGGGAGCCAGTTGTAGTACCTCAGTAGTTGCGTGTTCGTCTGGGATGTGAAAAGGTTTTTGATTAACAGGCCTCTGTGTGCTCTCACTATGGAGAATACCAAGGTAACCAAACACCAGTCGCTGCCGTCCCGCCAGTGACGGGAGAACCAGTCTGCTGTGAGGTTGTTGATCCCCAGTAGATATTCCGTCTTGATCGTAATGTTGCGGGAAGGCAAACACAGTCAATGTCCCTTGTTGTTTACGTCAATACGCGTGACCTGGCTTTGCCCAAGCGGTTGTATATATTGAACCACGGAGATATTGTCCATGTGTAAGAGAATCCAGCAATTGGACATGTTCTTGGCTAGATTGAGGATCGCAAAAGGATCCTGTGATCAGTTCCAGACAGGTGATATGGAGACCCAATTCCTCCTCTGATCATGGTCCTCCCGTGGAAGCATGAGTGCAATGGGCTTCCCATCCCCATAGACTCACGTCTGATTCCATGATGAAATCCGGAGTCACATCGAATATGGCCCTGTCATTCCAGGCTTCCATGTGAAGGAGCCACCAACGAATTCCGTCCGTACCTCTGTGGAGACCGTTACCCAATGGTCATACGTGTGTCCGGTTCCTAGGTCGTGGGCTTTTAGCCTTTGCATGGTAATGAAGCGGTCCCGGAAAAATCGCTTGGATGGAGGACGAGAACGGTCCTCGCTAGTAGGCGGAGAGGTATGGTCTTTATCTCCGTCTGAATCGCCGCTATCTTTGATGCAGGGAGGCGTAAGACGCATGAGTTGGAGTATATTTAGAATCCGAGGAATTGAATCACTCAGGACAGGGACAGAGCCAACTTCTCTCTGTTTACTACGAAACCCAACAATTCCAGGAATCTTATTATAAACCTCATTTGCAACTGTAGTCTGGAACTGAACTCGCAAGAAATCAACAAGTCACCCA